CTTCTAGCTTACTCTATACTTATAGTATTAATAGGGTTAGTCTCTAATTTATTAAACTAGTAGCCTGGATAATAGCTTAGTCTATAAGTATATATATATAATCAGGCCTTAATTAAGATATGCTATGTTTAATGTACCTAAAGACTTAGCTTTAATTTAAAATCTTAGCACTTTAACCTATAGTTTAGCTACACTACTAAAAATTAGGACTTAACTTAACCCCTACTAAGCCTAGTTTTAGGAAGTAATTAACTATTATACTAATACCTTTAACCTATATAATAAGCACTAGTGATTAAATATAATTAAATATAGCTATATATAATTAAATATAATTAAATATAATTTAAATATAACTAGCTATAACTAAAGCTAATAAAATATAACTAAATATTAGGGCATTATAGTAGGTATAGAGTATATTCCACTATACACTTATATTATCTAAAATGCTGCTTCTCTAATTTCCGCCTTACATCCGCTCACGATATACCTCACATTAAACGGTTGCTCTGATCCTGCTATGATGATAGGGGAAAAGGGCAGCCATACTACAAGCCTATGTAAACGCTTAGCAAATCGTACGCGCCCCAGCACAGCAACCAATTGTAAGCATACCCTCGTAGCATCACAGGACTATGGACCGAAGTCGTAATCTTATCCATCTCCTTGAAGGCGTCCACGTCCTACGGTATGCCTAGCACTGCTCTATGCCTTCGGATCGAAGAGGAGAAAGGTTCTTCCTTCCGAGCTCCCCTTCGTAAGCTCGAGCCACAGAACGATCCGTGCACATCGCCTTGCACCACAGACCACCAACACTCCCTCTATGTATATTAGGCGGCAGAGGCTATGCCAATTTTTAGGCAGAGCACACACTAGGAACGCTGTAAACCCTGCATCATCCACTGCTTGATATTCTAATTTGCCCACTATTCCTTATTACTTCTAACCTTTAAGTGTTCTTGTTTTTATCCGCTGCCCTATCGGCTATGCCCAACTTGAAACGTAACTACACTCCAGCCCCAGGTGTAGATAAGCCTATCCGCGGCTCATCGGCGGGCATCAAATCGACCGCATTGACGACGCCGAGGCAGAAATTAGGTCAGTGTGAACAGATCAATGAGCTTTGGAGGGACCGCAACTACATCGAGAAGGTCGTGCACAGCGTTGGCAAGCTGGGGGATCAACTACAGGAATGGAATAAGCACCAGAAGGATGCTGTTCAAGAAACCTTAAACCAGCCCCGTATCCGTCCTGTCTCTTTTAGCTCCCCATTCACTTGTGCTCGGCCCCCCTGCCCTGTTACCACACTCCTCCGAAGAGGGGCGATCGGCGCCGTTGAGATTCAAATATCGGCCCTCTCCTCACTCTTTTTTTTCCACTTCCTCCCCCCACGAACAGCTGTGCCCCACATACCAAAGGCTGAACGAGGCGGTTTTGGAGAGGTTAATTGGGCTTACGGACAAAGCATTGGAAATAAAGGAGAAACCGGATGTCTGGCAAAACGACCCGTGGATGAAGCAGCTGGATTGGTCTGGCCAAGAAATCAAAATGGTAAAGGGGAAACGAAAGAACGACCCGCCCCGGCCTGCAGCAAGACAGAAGAAGCCGGGGATGCCAAAGTGGTACAAGGACTTGTTTGCCAAAAACGACGCCCCGATCAATGTCTCACCCTCCCTTGGCATACGGGCGTGCGATCGCGCATTCGCTCTCAGAGAACGTAAAGTTTGGGCTAAACATAGAAGGTGCCTGTGAAAGAAGGAAGATGGTTGGATGGCTCTTAGCCATCTGCTCACTTGCCCAATCAACAGTTTGGCTAGCGGGAGTCCTGAGAGTACAAGCCTGTGTGCTGGTCGCCTATACATAGCAATTTCTCCCACGCTACATAGTACATTGAAAAAGTCCGAGTTGTCAGCGGGCGAACGGTCGGCGAGTCAAAACAACGCTGTGAGGTCAGTCTAGAGTGTGAATGGAGAGACCTCGCCTCGCTTGCAGGCCCCCAACTGACAAAGTGATAGGCTAGGATAAATTGATATTGGCTGATCGTTCTGCCCTGCATACCAAGTGACGCGCAGCCCAAAAGATGACGAGGCGACAGAAGCACGGGCTTTGATTCATGTACACCGATAAGGGGAGAGGTCACCTTCGCAGCGGTGGGTGACGGGATCGTAGCCCCTGCATCTTTTTACACAGCAGCACACGATTCCCGGTAGGTTTTGAAGGAATACGAGCGTCGATTATGCGAATACGTAGGCATCATGCCTCAAGCGGATTTGACCCCAGAGCTTGGCTGCGTTGATTGCTCTCGGTGCAGCCAAAAACGTCGAAGTCCGGACTGAAGACACCAACTGAAGCAATGATACTCCCAATAGTCGCGCGGAGGATGGGAGGATCATTGTTTCCTTGGCAGAGACATGCCGCAATACATGGTAATGAAAGAGGAAGAGGCCGAGGGAGGACCTATGTACCATTACGTGCTCAATTTCCTGCCCCACAGATCGAATGCGCGCGTTTCAGCGTGTCCACCGGACTATTGATGGCTTTTACCAATCTAGAAAGACCTTCGAAGATGAAAGCCGAATAAGACAAAATCAGATATTACCAATTTCCAAGTACCTTAGATTCTTATATTCAAAGAAACCTTGAGCTCCACTCTCCCCGGCCAAAGATTGCATATGCGGTTCATACTCGCAAAGACCTGATATTTCCCGGTAATCCAGTACCGGCTACGGAATTGCTTGATTTGAATTTAAGGAAACAAACAGACTTTGAAATAATAATTATAGTAAATCTGCGAACCTATTTGCAGGACTAAGATTAAAGGCTGAATTAATGAATCTGCGGCAATCCTTTCAACTCTTGGCCAAGCAAGTATTCAACATGTGGTTCGCCGAGCCTTAGAAATAGCCCCTTTATTTATCCTGGGTAAGTATTTTAATATATATTAAATTGGACGAGTTGCACAAAATAATGAAGGATCTTCCACCTCATTTCATCTCCCGGCTGAGATTGGCATGGCGACATGGGTGTCCACGAGCAGCTAAGCACGTTCCAGGCCATGGATTTTGACCCAGATTAAAACTGTCTTTGCAACCTTAGCATCCGGGGGTCATGGTCTGACCCTGGATTCATCTTTCGTTTCAATTATCACTCAGGAGAATAACACTATAGGCGTCCACTACCCTATACCGTCCGGTCGTAGCAGAAGTTTAGATTCGAGGTTGCCTCTTGAGTAGTAGATGATTATGCACACGAATAAGACAAGATAAATTGTATATATACGGGAATTATCATATCCTTATTTATCTTCTTAGAGGCTGAAGTAAGCAGATTCTGTAAAACGAAACAAAAAAGCGCGGAATTTGACTGTCTTATGTGGCCAAATAGTGAACACTCTCAGCTTTGCTATTCGACTGCTACTAGATGGGAATCACGAACATGGGGAGAAAGGCTCCTGTCATGAATCGTGGTATACAAGGGCCTCTTGCAAGGGTATTTACACGCAATTAGCTAGCATTATGTAGAAATGGGATCAGACAGTACTATAACAGCGCGTGCGAGTTTAAGGCTAAAAGGAGGGGCGGAACTAAGTGAAGGGCAATGGAGTATGCTTGGTACCGTAGCTATGTAAGACTATAGAAAGGTAGATAGAATCAAGTCTTTACGAATTATATTGGATGGAAATATTAGTTTCTGAGGAATTCATACCGCCTTGATATCCAATAAACAGCTGAACGCCACTTGCTAATACAAAGGCCTGAAGGTACAAGCTTTAAGCCTCGGTCCCCTGCTGATATTAATTATAGAAACTGACTGCTAAGCTGTTGGAAGATGTAGTAGTATCTTGGAGTGTTCCCCTTTACTCAGGCACTAGTGTAATTCAATTTTGAGAAATGGATGGCGATTGGACCCTACTGAGTTGGGCTACCGTTAGCCTAGTACTAATAATAGCTGAACCCTGAGAAGTGGCCGCAATGCTCCTTCAATGCTACACTGATCAGAGAAATGACCATGCAAGATTCCCTGCCAGAAGTACCTAAATCATCAAGAAAGCACTGCCTTGTGGAGGCTTTAGTAATACCGCAAACACCCAGGATTTTGTAGAGTAGTAAGGGCTAATAGACTGGAGGAATATAACACCATCCGTATATGTATTTATGGCATGAGCTGATAGTTGATCTGCATAATGGACTCCATGGCTGGTGTATGCAGTGTTCACCCAAATGGTTCGCCATTATTGAGACATGGCTATCAAGTTCTTGATCATTGATTCCTGTAAAGCTTAATTAATGCTTTAATGAAATAGTTGAACTTGAGGAATTGGCTGCTTAGATGAATACTCGATCTGTCTGAGATTGCCAGAGACATTGGGTAGTACCAAATGCCAAGCTCGGGTGATATCACCTCCTGATTGCATGCGACCCACCAATATTGAACCCCGACCATGGGTGGTGCATTCACCGACGCTTCGTTGTTTGAATCCCGGGAGCTAGCTGAAAGCGTATCTTGCCGAGCGGTTCGGCAGGCCGTCGCAGAATCGATTTGCCAAAATCGGGAGGAGGGAACTGGGGGTGTCAGAGGAACTAGGCCCTCTTGGTCATCTCTTGAAGGTATTCGTCATATTATAACCATTTTCTGAGATCCCCGAAGCTCGCCTTACACCTCCTGAAAGAAGGGCGTAGATGGACGGCATGACTACCCCAATGACATGCTATGTCTAAGCGAGGGGTGGATGTAGAAATGTAGGACTCTTGAGAAAGACGGAAGAAAAATATATAAAGTCTGAGACGATCTGAACAACTTGCGCTTTCCTTCCTCATCAAACAAACAAAATAAAAATAAAAATAGTCCTTTTCAGTCTATTCTTTATTTCCTTACTTTGTCTTTTTTTCCTATACTTTTTTCTTCCTTTTCTCTATCCCTCATCCTCATCTTTTCTTAAGTTGCTAGTCATTTTCTAGGACCTTTTCTAGAACAATTCTTTATACTAGCTTTTTATAATGGTTGCTTATAAGAACCTCAGCTTTGCAGCTGTCCTGTCTCTTGGCCTTGCCGCCCACGGACTGGCCGCCAAGACTGAAGCCACCAATCTTGTCGCTCGCGGTGTCGAGTCTGATGGTGCTCCTGAGTTTGTTACCCGCGACACCCCCGCCGAGCTGGAGGAGCGTGACGAAGAAGGCGAGCTAGAGGCCCGCGACCTTCTTGAAGAGCTTTACGAGCGCGATATGTACGAGGAAGACGAGTATCTATTTGCCCGTGGCCCAGGGAAGAAGGACCGTCCTGCCCCCCCCGACCCTAAGAAAGATAAGGGGGGGAAGGGCTCGACGAGAAAGCGTGGTCTACTCACCCGCGGCGGGAAGAAGGACCGTCCTGCCCCCCCGACCCTAAGAAAGATAAGGGGGGTAAGGGCTCGACGAGAAAGCGTGGTCTACTCACCCGCGGCGGGAAGAAGGACCGTCCTGCCCCCCCCGACCCTAAGAAAGATAAGGGGGGTAAGGGCTCGACGAGAAAGCGTGATCAGCTTGCCATCGAATACGATGTATACTAAGGTGAGGCTGCCATCCAGAAGCACTCCCGCAATATTTCTGATCTTTGTTTCGAGGATTCTGCCCAAACCCTCTGGTAAGGGCATTGGCGGTGGGCAGTGGAAGACATGCCTTTAAAGGGGGGAGGCTTAAGGAAGAAGTTCAGGCAAGCACAAGAGGCACTCGGGTTTTAGACTTTCGAGACATATGGTAGCTTGTGCTTTTAGAGACCATCATTGTTTATATCACCTGGTTTCTGGAATAGTGGTTGTAGTTTTTAGTGAATGTGACCTGTTCAGATGGGATGGGAAATGCATATTAGATTTAAAGTGGTTTTTTCTTGGGGAGATGATCTTTTTTGAATACTACTAGTTGGTATTCAGAGCTATTTCTTCAACTTTGAGTGACGGTCTTTACATCTCACACTTAAATAAGAAGTTACCGCATCACGCAGTAAATTCAATGGTAATCAACGCGTATATCTCTCGAGTGAGTGTTTCTTGGCTGGAGTGACATCCTCTTAGATTGAGGCTTCAAGCAGCGATACACGACGATTCCGAATAGGCATATCGCCGCCATGAGTAAAAGAAAGAGTAGCTTATGTGAACGGCTTCTGACGTGGCAGCGCAGGACTGTGGAACCAATGAAGTCCCAACATCAAATGATGCAGACTACTGTAACATAAATTTGCCTCCTTGGCCGCCTTGGACCATCTCAATTTCCCCCATCCACTCCAACCCTCCAAAACAACGGCAGCAGTAGGAAGCTTCACCCTCATCAAAATCTTCCTTTTCTGCATTTTAAACGTCTCCAGGACGCTAGGATTAACCCCCATACTAGAAAATGAACGACACGCGGCGTCTCTCGAGTCGAACCGAGCGAGAAAATCTCGCCACCCCCCCACACCCCCCAAGCCAGTTGATGGCTCAGTCAGCTCCAACGATGCCAACCAAGTTGCTCGATGCGCCTACACAGCGCTTTTATATTTTTGCTGTTTATATGTCTCTGTTCGCATGGCGATTATACGACCTAATAGACTTTTATGAACGCGGAGAATCTTTTGAGTATTCCCTATGGCTTTGGCTTAAGTGGTGTTTTATTGATGCCGTCTTCTTGTTTGGTCTCCCCTACCTCAAGATCCCTTGGTTGGACTGGTCTTTTTCTATAACTATGACTGTTTTCATTGTACATATGGTCATGAACGCATTTCCGGTGTCTTGTATAGCGCAGTGTGCGAAGGCAGCTTTGTACCTTTTCAAGGGCATTGTGAAGTTCCCTAAGGCTAAAATAATGTGGCATGCGATCTTGACATCTACCTCCAATATCAGGTTGGTCTCCTTGGTTTTATCTATTTTGCCAATTGTCCCCGCAGACGGATACGGGTGGGTGCCCTGCTGACTCCATTCCAAGCCCACCGTGGCAACCTAGGGTCCCTCCTCCGATGGAAACTCCCAAGACTAGCATTCAGAAACCTAGCTATGAGCGGCAAAGTCCCGGACTGGAAGACAACATCATAAAGATCGACAACAACGATAACGACAAGAGGGTAACATCCTCCGAGCTCGGTGAGAATGTTTCAGGTGGCGCAGAGGAGACGCTCTCCTCTAACAAGACTTCTTCAGAAGCGTCCGAAGACTATAATTATGATGTCATTTTCACCCGAGAGTTCGCTTCGGCGGTTCAAGACTGTTTCAAACTGGCTGTCGAGCGCATTGCCGGGACTCGTCTATCATGGTGGCCGTCAGCTGAGCCAGAGGATAAATTGAGCCACGCTCACATTCGAGTGTACTCTATGCCCTTCGTAAGTCTCCTATACGTATCCTCTAATACTGCTAATAGTATCTGAGTCTTCGTCATGCCAGGCGCTGAGTATTAGCATAAGTCACTAGCTAACTCCTGCTATTTCTGTACAGCGAGGCCGACGCTTTTACGCCGATATTCCGACATCTCTGGCAGAAATCCTATTTCCCAAGCTGATCATCGCTCGCGAGTCCGCCTCAAAGTCCAATTGGACACCATTGAATCGTGAAGCGGTCCTCCTCCATGACACAACTCTAATACACATCCTGCTCCTCTATTTTGCCTCAATGGGAGAATGTGAACTTGAGGGGAAAGGTGCGCTCAAAGACCGAAACTCTTAAAGATCATCTATATAACCAAAACGCCAGGACATTACAAGTTTCAGACCGCAGCACCGGCCGGCTCAAGCAATACCGGCAACCCTAAGGACCAGGCCACACAAGCAACAGGGGTATTAACCTCTGTTCACACTGGCGCTGGAGCATCGGGTAGTAATTCAAAGAAGAGACAAGGTCGGGCCGGAAATGGAGCGGGTTATCCTCGGTCGACTACCGCTCTACCGGGTGGCGACGGGGCGCCCGTACAGTTTCCCGTCCTCTTCGTCAGTGCCAACATTGGGCCCAACCAAGATATTGCTCGAGTCGCAGAACCTGGTACAAAGGACAAGCAGACTTTCGAGTCACTCCGCAGGGCCTATGGAGGATTTTCCGCTGGGTGGTATAGGCCGTGGCGTGCCAAGCGTCCAGTTGGCGTCAAGTTCTATCGGGTAAGCCACCTGACCGAGTTTATAGCATCCTCAATAGCTGCTGCGCTATTCAGCTATTCGCTTTGGCTTAAGGATATGCATGTCCGCTGACGCCGGGATAGTTTCAGAGTTTTCACTGGCGTAAATCTCAAGGCTCACATACCGAGTTCCTCTATCATATCGCCGTACACGACGATATGGAGCGCTATCCACATCAGTCTGAGGAGGAATACGTCGAGTATGAGTTCACGCCAAAGCCATGGCAGGGGATGGGCTACTTCAACAAAGAAGTCTGGCATTACTTTCTCTGCCCGGAAGATTGCGGCAATTCCAAGGATTTGACAAGTGCCCTTCCTATACGAATCAATGGTCCCATCCCTCCACAGTGGACTGCCTTTGGTATTCATGTCGACGAACGACCTTCTGTGCTGAGCATTTGCTTCAGATTTGCGGCTGTGTCTTGATTGTTCTCATTGCAGGTGGAGTATGGTTTATCCGACCTTGGCTAAGTGGCCATCCCGATGACTTACAGAACGCTTTCATGCCGGCGACCTATACTGCCGCAGCCATGGTATGTACTTTTATGGCAGTTACATTAGCACGTTCTTGAGCTCGGGGAAGATATCTCGCACGAACATCACTTGACTCTTCGTTTGCATCACATCCGCCTTGGATACAAATCTAGCGGCGTCTGACCGAATATACCATTCGCGGTGGTATGTGGAACAACATCGCTCAGAGCTGCGGTCGGCTATCCGCCAAACCGCCAAATAGAATGATAGAGTGATAAGTGTTCCTGCAGTGCAAGTGACATCCACCCCCTTACTTCTCAAGCTCTCAACTCGTTCCGAAAAGGCATTGGCGGACCCCGTAGGGGACCGGTCTCCTGTCTCTACAGCCACAGTCCGGAAAGTCTCGTTCCGAAAGGTCTGCTGGCGGGCCCCGTAGCGCCACAGTTCGCGCCACAGTTCGCGCCATACTCACTCGCCACAACCTGTGACGATGACTAAACAAAATCTTCAGCCTCAAAGTCGAGTATCTCTCCTTTACTTGGACTTGGTACATTTAGTACTATATAAATAATAATAACTACCCTCAGTCTTCTTGCGAGCATTGCGGGCGAGGCTCTTTTTTTTTTAGCGGTACTACTTTATATTTTCTACGTCAGCCTTTGCCTTTAGCGTGCATGCCGGCTGTTTGCACGATGGCACTTAACTACATCCGGCTCACCGGGGGAAAGATATGATAGCAGGGATCTAGCACTTCAGCACGTGGAGGAAACTTCTCGTTCATTCGCTGGCATCGCAGATAGCAAGAGCCTTTTCTAGGGGGCTGTTTAATGAAACCGGGGCGATCAGCCAGAGCCAGGTACATATATCCTCTTCGCCTCTTTTGTGAGAACAAACCTTGCGTCTTCACCTCTTCCGTACCTACAGGGTGCTTCAAGCAGCGCATTCATTGTGTGTGGAATAACGAGAGCAGGGTCAATTGATTTGAGGATATTCATCGCAGTGGGCTCGACATCACGCGACAATGACCATCAAGACACCTTGGTCGCGATTCCGACCCAGCGGTCTCGCAAAAGGCCTCCAGAACATTATTCGGGAGAATTGGTATCTGGGATTGACGTCCTTTGGAGGCCCACCGGCCCACTTCAAGATTGTGAGTTCATGGCCCGTCGACTGCCCAGAATCTCCAAAACCGTAATCCCCGTAACCTCCATCTTCACCTCTTCCGTGGATGCCGCGTTGGAAGGATCAATCCATGCGGGTGGCCGATGAGACATTATCTGGCCGACAATGGTGATGGCTAACATGCTGGCTGGTAGTTTCACGGCAAGTTTGTCGCCAAGCTCTCATGGATTGATGAGCAGGTGGTATGTACTCGTGAAACTGCCGCGAAACTCTCTGCTGATGATAATAGTGCTGTAGTATCAAGAGCTCTTCAGCATCTGTCAGGCCTTTTCCGGCCCCGGCAGCACCAAGATGCATTACTGCATCAATCTCCTGCACGATGGCTTCATCCCCGCCGTTGTCGGATTCGTCATCTGGAGGTAACGTCTCTCATCCTCAACATCTCGCTGTAGAACTGACTTGTTGAACAGCCTCCCTGGCGCCCTGGGCATGTACGGCCTCTCTATCGGCGTTTCCAATATCGGCGACTCCCTCCCTCGCCCCGTTTACGCCTTGCTCTCCGGCCTCATCGCCGCCACCGTTGGCATCATCGTCCTGGCAGCCGTCCAGCTGTCCGAAAAGGCCATTACCGACAAAATGACGCGTATCGTCGTCTTCCTGGGCGCTGCTGCCGGCATGATGTACAATGCGTTGTGGTATTTCCCACTGCTTATGTTTCTTAGGGGCATTGCAACTGTTGTGCATGACTTTCGATGGTTGCATGGCCCGGTCAAGGCTGTGGCTGGGACATTGAGGAGAAAACGCACACGGTCCGAGGCGGAGGCGGATGAGAGCGTGCAGATGCAGATTCAGCAGGAGACGGCTCGAGTCACCCTCGTGAGAGCACCGCCGCGGAAGATACTTCGTTGAATTGCCGCAGGACTACCGACCAGCCAAGCACCATCGGCCGCGAAGATATCACGCTCCCCATCACCACACATAAAGCATCAATCCCCGAGTCCGAGCCGCGCGTCGTCCCCGAGGAACGACGCCTCAACATCAGCTGGAAATCCGGACTTCTCCTCATCGGCCTCTTCCTCATCACTTTTATCGCCGTCATGGCCCTGCGCGGCGTCCTGCCCAACCGCCCGCTCCTCTACGGTCTCTTCGGCAACATATACCTCGCGGGTACCATCATCTTTGGCGGCGGCCCCGTCGTGATTCCGCTGCTCCGCGAGTATATTGTCGACGAAGGCTGGGTCAGCGCGCGTGACTTCCTGATTGGCCTCGCTATCATCCAGGCGTTTCCAGGACCCAACTTCAACTTTGCTGTGTACCTTAGTAGTCTGACGGCGATCAACGGAGGCCACAACTCTGCTGCTGGTGCTATTCTTAGGTTCCTGGGTCTCTTCTTTCCCGGTTTAATCACAGTGCATGGAACTATAGGTATCTGGAAAGCGATTCGGGGGTGGAGATAGGTAAAATCGGCCCTTAGAGGAGTTAATGCTGCTGCTGTCGGGCTTATCTATACTGCGGTCTATCGTCTCTGGCAGATTGGCTACATTGATGAGGGATTCCAGCAGGGAACCAGCCTAGCGGTTGAACCGTGGTGGGTGGTTGTGACAGCCACGAGCTACGTAGGTGGCTACTGGTTTGGAGTGAGCCCGCCTGTGGCCATCATCATGGGCGCTGTCATGGGCTTGATATAGTACGGGGTTGTCTCAACTTAAAGTACTGTTTTCACACTACATATCATGGATAAACATATAAACAGGATATTGAGTGGAATAATGCAATTGTGGTCTATATTGAATGAGGTATGCGAATTGGACGTTGGTGCTTAATGAGATTAAGAAATGAGGCGATTAACCGGTGCTTAACTATGATACCATCGAAATGCAGCGCCTGTGCGTAATGTTTCCCAACCCCCCGCCCCAAAAAAAAAAAAAAAGGAAAAAGGAAATAAAAGTCACACGCAGACGCCACTAACGCCTGTAATCACATGCACAATTGTCTCTAGATCACCTTAAGCTAATGTCTAGCATCTAAAGCTTAGCTGTCATCTCTTCCTAAGATAATACTTATCGCAGGCATGTTCCGAAAGGCATTGGCGGCCCCCGTAGGGGACCGGTCTCCTGTGGCAAGCTTTGGGTACTAGTAGAGGGAAACCACAATGCTTAGGTTTTTCAATACTAGTGCCAGAAGATACTATCGCTAGGTAATTTATAGCGCTTGAATACTGGTACAAGTTAAACTGCAGTGCTTGAATACTAGTACCGAAAAAACTACAGTAATTTAGTCCTAGTACTAGATAAGATAAAGTAACAGGAGACCGGTCCCCCTTCAGGGGCCGCTAATGCCTTTTTAGAATAAGTTAAGAGCTTGGGAAGTAAGGCGCTTACCTCGTGAAAGAATAAGCCTAATATAAGTATAAATCTTATAAAGCCTAAGATCTAGGTATATATTATATAACTACCTTAGGGCTATAAGCTATAGTTAGCCTTCTATTTATCTAATAGGAAAGGATAATTAAAGCTTAAATATAATAAGCTATATACTCTTCTATTAAAATACTAATTATATACTACCTATTATAATAGAATATACTTAAGGAGATATATCCTAATACTATAAAGAATTAAGTATATTTCACCTAGATAAAAAATATAATAGCTCCTCTATATACTTATTAAAAGGAAATATAATTTTACCCTTCCTATTATACTAACTAGAAAATTTAAGAGTAAAAGGGGATAATATATTATATACTTACTAGTACTATAGTATATTAATATAATTAGGGAGGTTAACTATACCTTACTATTAGTATTATTTTAATTACTATTATCTTTAAGACTTACTACCTTAGGCTACTATTAGTATTAATATAGTAATATAAATACTTATATAGAGGCCTTTCCCTCTTTAACTTAAGTATCTTAATCTTAGTTTTACCTTCTTTTAACCCTTTATATACTAATAATTTAGAGTTCTCTATTTTCTACTCTTATCTTAACTAGTATTTAAAGTTTCTTAAATAGTACCCTTTTAGTATTTATTCTATCCCTATAATTAATTCCCTAGCTTACTAATACTATATATAACCTTCTTAATATAGTTATAATCCCTCTAAAGCTTATTAATCTATTTATATTAACCTAATTTCTATCTTAGTATTATTAATATAATTAATTTAATACCTATTAATAAGCTATAGATATTATTTATATCTAGTACTAAGTTTATAGTTACCCCTCCTTTAACTAAAAAACTATCTAATAATCTCTTAAAGGATAAGGTATAAAGATTATAAGTAATACTATTAACTATAATTAGATATAGAATAATATTAAGGGGTATTTTCTAAAAATCTAGTATAATAAATATATAAGTTAAGGAACTAATAGGAATATTAATATAATTCTAAGTCTAAATCTCTTTAGTAATTAACTTATTAAAGAGATCTTATATATAGTTAATATAGTTTTAGGAGATAGTTATATTCTCACCTTAGAGGCTTATAGTTAAGCCCTAATTAGCTCCCTTATAAAGGGGAAAGTAATTAATAATATATTAATTAATATAATTATTAAAATTATTTATTAAGCTTAAGTACCCTCTAAAAGTAAAGTAATCTTTAAACTAATACTTAATTAGTATATTAATAGAATCTTAATTTATTAATAAATTTTTAAATAGAGATAAATTATTATTCTAATTATATATATATTAAGGTATCCTTAGTTATATAAAGATATTAGTTTTACCTAGATACTTTATATCTTTCCTAGTATTTACCTAAAAAGTTTAATTATTATACCTTTTATTAAGAGGCTTATTTATACTTAAGGCTAGAGTATAATTAAGTTTTAAGTTTAGTATAATTAATAAGATAGTAAATAAAAATAAGAATACTTAAAGGTTAAAAGTAATAAGGAATAATAAGTAAATTAGAATATTAAGTAGTAAATAATATAGGGTTTATAGTATTCCTAGTATATATTTATACCTAAAAATTTAGTATAGCCTCTACTACTTAATATATATAGAGGGAGTATTAATTATTATAGAAATTCCTAATTTATATATAAATATTTAATTAATTACTAATCTAATATAGTAGATCCTATATACTATAATAAAAGAATAACTAATATATATAAAGTTAAATATATTAATTAGTAACTTTAGTATATAATTAGCTTTAAATAAGGCTAATATATAGGGGTATTTTATATTTTTATAATATAATATTATAGTACTTAGTTAAGTTATAGTAAGTCTTAACTATATATAATAAGAAAGTTATAGTATAAAAAAATCTATAATATATAAGTTATAGCGTGGTCCCTTAAGGCTTATATATGGCGTAAACTGTAGCGTATAGGTTATGGCGCAGATGATTAAACGAAGGAGGGCGCGGAAGAAAGAACAGGAGACCGGTCCCCTACGGGGTCCGCCAATGCCTTTTCGGAACGAGTTAAGAGCTTGAGAAGTAAGGCGCTTAATAAGGGTCTACGAGGAGCTAATGAAGTCCAACAACGTGAATAACAAGTCTGTATCTATACGACATCCATCGCCTTCAGAAACTGCTCCCCGAAACCCAGGTTCTAACCATCCACGGATAACAGAGCTATCTAAGGCCTTGTAGTTTTGCTGAGTGATGATAGAATAGGCATCTCGGCAACGGGTAGTCGACTTTCCTGGCTCTGGAAGCGGCAAGTTACGGCAATCCCGGTCTTCAGAGTCTGTGAATGCCTCGTAGTCGGGTGTAAGCGCCTGGCCCGTTATGTCGCTGGCCCATGGAGCTGATAAGATGGGAGACGGATTCCAATTCCATACCCCGCTGGAAATAGCTTGGTTTGGAGCAAGGGAGGCTTGTTGGTTCGTTTTGTCTTTTCCTCGCTGGACTACAAAGCGACCATGTTGACGACCCAAGATCTTGCGTGACTCCTGGACTAAAGTCGATTGATAGCTATGTCCGCGTGTCAATGGCTTAACTGCTCCATTTCTTGTCGTTGGAAATTCTTTCGAGGCTTCGTGAACTTCGAGCAGCATTGAGTTGCCTTGTGTCCTCGCTTGCTCTAGCTTCTGAGAAAGCTCTGCGATACGGGATCGAGCCTGGGTAAGTTGTAGCTGTGTCTCTGCTAGGCGGGTCTCGAGATCCGCAATGTGATCTTTGACTTTCTTGCGGTGGCGGCGCTGGTTGTTGCGTAGCCTGACCACCTTGTGATCAGCCGCCTTCGATGACCATTTGCTCATCATCTCGAAGCTGAGCGGCTGGTGCAGCGCATGAGCTGTTCAAGTAAATACTCGGTGTTTTTAACGGGAATACTCGGCCAACAGTGGGCTATCGGATGTTCAAAGTATGATTGGCTTTGTCAAAGTATCATTGGAGAAGTTAATGGGAGAGATTAGTGACGCCACTTGCAAATGAAATCACAGCCGCTTAGTCAAGATGGGCGATGACACATTGAAAATTTGCCTTTTTGGGCTTAGTTGAGCTGTGAATTGATCATCGCTGTAAAGGGAAAGAATCTGATGACACACTATCTCCACCCGCCTCAGTAGAGGTTGGAGCGAGCAAGAGCTAATGTGGATTGGCATTTCTCTTTAAATACTACCTCCTCGGACGCGTGATGTGTGCATAATCAACTTCAATGAAGATCTTGTGTGCATACAATTTGGACAGAAAGTAATCACTGCCGCTGGCAATATATTCAAAATCTATGGATTCTCAGCAAATTTACGACCGAGTCAGCGCGCACTATAGCGCCGCCTCTCAAGGAATGACTGCTGAATATGGGAGTGCCATCGCAAAGTCCTTCGGGTACTCTGACGAGGAACTCTCAAGTGCCCCTGAGGGATCTAATCTCGGCCTTAGCTGCGGGAACCCTCTCGCTATCTCTAGTATTAGTGAGGTAAGGCACGGCCCTCGTAATTCCTGGCACTAAAGTTCTATGTACTAATAGTTCAATATTAGGGCGAGACGGTAATTGATCTTGGAAGCGGAGCTGGTTTTGATGCTTTCCTCGCCGCCAATAGGGTTGGGCCGTCTGGGAAGGTCATCGGTGTCGATATGAACAAGGTATAGATATGTTAAACCTTTCAGCGTGTTATGGGTCCTAAAATCTGACATAGCTCACAGGATATGCTCGCTAAAGCCAACAAAATCAAGGCCGAAACTGAAAAGACCAATGTCGAGTTCATCAAGTCGGGCATCACAGACATGTCAGTCCTCGAATCCGAAATTGCTGACTGCATCATCTCCAACTGCGTCATAAATCTTGTCCCTGCTACAGAAAAGCATCTAGTTTTCAGAGAGATATTCCGTCTCCTAAAGCCTCAGGGCCGTCTTGCGATCTCGGATATCCTCGCCAAGAAGCAGATGCCCGATAAGCTCAGATCTGATATAGCTCTATATGTTGGATGCATTTCGGGGGCAAGTGTGGTTAGTGAATACGAGGAATTCCTTAAAGATGCAGGTTTTAGAGGTAAGTGCCTAAAGACTTATACACTTGTAGGGTCCATCCCATGAGCTAAGAGTTGGTCATCTAGAAATTCTCATTACCGACACGAAGAGTGATCTGAATGTCTATCTTCAAACCAACGAGGACGGTTCAAAGAAGACAGAGTGTTGTATCCCAACAAAGGTGGAAAAAGAAGAAACTAGGTGCTGCGAGCCTTCAAGTGAGGTTTGCTGCGAACCTGAATTATCTTCTCCTTGTTGCACGACGAACTGCTGTGCATCAGAGAATAACTATGTCAGCCTCACAGAGAGTGACCTAAATAAGTGGGCTGGTGAGCAAATTCCCCTTACCCCATATTATCTGGAGACCTGACCTGGAAAAAAGGATCGTTCAAAGTCTACGCTGTGAAGAATTGATGCGGGCAAGATTCGTCGATGGCCTAGATGAGTAGTCACGCCTGATATGATGGCATGGGTCGATGGGTCTAGGATGTAGCCATTGATAACTATCTGAGGTATTGTGATATTGCTGAATGGGTGTACAGCTTAATTGAAGATAGGTTTGTAGCCGAGTTAATGTCCTACAAATTGGTCCGGAAAGCGGTAATCTTTTATTATCCTTTCCAGAGACTATATCCCGTGAAGTTAAACATTGACTGGTTTGATTCCGGGCGCGATTTGGCGAGTCGACTGTATAGTGCCTAGATGCTCCGATACAACACGACCCTCCCCATCTGAAGGGGGGATACCATACTCCTCCACGACAGAAATGTTTTATGGCTTCTAAGCGCTCCATTTTGAATGCTAAATGGTCCTCTTTTCAACCCTCTTACAAGTAGAGGTAACCTTTCGACAACAATGTACAGCGTTTTCAGATTCAGTCTTGGACCTCAAAGTCTGCCCACTTTACCTCCCTCATACATCTTGACCACCAAAATTCCAATTGACTCCCAGGCCATATCAGCGTGTTCCTCCCGGTTCGTTTGTCCGTATACCAATTTGAAACGTCTGATTTGTAAACTAGACCTTGCAGCCTGGATTGTATCCATTCATTGAAGGCCTCTTGGGCGTTGGTTGTTACCTCAATCTTGGCCTTCTTTGATGAATTGGCATCATTGAAGAAACGCCTTAGCAACCGGATGATGTATTCAACGGAGCACTCGATGCTCACGAGTGTAGAATGACCGGATGGAAGTGTATTGGGACCGGTCAGAATAAAAAGGTTGGGAAACCCCGAGACGCAGACACTGCATATTGATTAGCATGAGAATACTTCCTTGAGCTATTCGGCGTACCCCATGTATGCAGATGGATGATTCTCGTCCTGTTGCCAAATGGCTGGAAGTTCTGCTCCAGCCAAGCCAGTGATCCTCATCGGACTTAGAAGATGTTGAGTTTTGAAGCCGTTGGCGAGAATAAGGACATCGGCAATGAAATTCTCGCCGCCGTCACTTTCGATTTCACGGGGACCAACGACCGACAAAGACCGGGTGCTGACCAGCTTTACTCTCGGATCATGCAACGATTGAAGATATCCATGATCCAAGACTGGCCGCTTCGCTCCAAATTCAAACCCTGGTATGAGAAGATGATGATACTTCTCCGGTGCCGAACGTCGGATGTAGTTGGAAAGAGACGCTTGGATCTGATTTCGGAGTAATTTGCCAACTCGACCATTTTTGAAGACTTGGAAGGTCACATCTAACTTTAGCGCTAGCCAAGACCTCCAAAGTCGGTTTGAGAATGGTACATAACGGAACATCCTATTATCGCGCGGTTCAGTTTTTGCCAGCATGCCTTTCAGGGAACAAATAGCACTGACCATCGTTGCCATCTAGATATATGGCGGTTATCTTTTGGAGCGATCCAATGAGGGCTTCTCATGAACTGTACTAGATTTTTTTATTTTAGTTTGGTTAAGCATTTCCGGGATAAACTGGTTTGCAGAGCAGCCGTTGCCTACCACGGCTACGCTTTTATCCGTAAAGTCGATCGAATGATCCCACCTGGCGCTGTGGAAAACATGCCCTGTGAAGTTTTCGATACCACTAATTTCATCGCCACTCTTTGGCACATCGCAAAACCCAACAGCTGCGATTAGGAAAGTTGAGTATCTAAGATAAACCCGGTCAGACTCGCCGTCGACCAATCTCACACGCCAGCGAAACTCTTCATCGAGCCATTCCGCCGAGATGCATTCTTGGTTTAAATGGATGTAATTATCACAGTCGAAAGAGTGGACTACCTGCTGCATGTAGGACAGGATCTTTGGCTGAGAGGCATAGGTGGCTGACCAGTCTGGATTCGGGGCAAAAGAATAGGAGTATAGCTGGGATTATCTTGTGAGTAGGTGCATTTTTCCGTTTGATGGAGGGTTAAATGGGCAGTACTTGAGACGGTATGTCGCAACTCAGGCCTGGATATGAGTTCTTTGCCCACGTGCCTCCCACATTGTCCACCTTTTCGTAAACGGCGACTTTGAGAGCTGGAAAAGTCTGTCGCAGTTTGACGAGGGCACACACTCCTAGTAGACTAGGGCGTTAACGGGGGATCCACAACTGTGAAATGTTACTTACCTGAAAGCCCTGCGCCAATGATGATGACATCTGCCTGCTCCATATTGTTCATTGTGAAAACTTGAGAAGACTGCACTTTCCATCTGGGTTTTGGATGAGGAGCTTCACTCGTTAAATAACATCCATATCTTTGTCAGTCGGTACCGTCTTCCAGGGTCAAGAAACCCATCATATTATTAAGCTTACCCAATTGGGAAAATTAGTGATGACCAACAGATACATGGAAAGCCGATGTGGCTGAGGCTCGAGTGGGTATCCTTTAGATTATCATCTGGTCCATAATTGTAGTGGTACATGGCTGTACGGAGTACTGATGTAGCGTTCGTATACTTGGTTAGCCGGCTGGTTGGTTATAAATTCTCAGAGAGGGATGACTTCGCTTAGCCGAAGAAGGAAAGTTTTCGATATGTCACCAAAGGGCTGGAACAGCACCCTGGTCTAGAGCTACCAACGCTTATGTCGTAGCATCTTCCAGATGGATACGATAGTGTGGTCATCGTGAGCTATTGCAGAAAGCCATAGGGCACTAGATAGTATTGTACGCAATGCAATATCGTATGGAAGCTTATAGAACGATCCGATCCACCTACATCACCGTGGTCGCCCTCACCATCATGCTTAACAGTTTAAATGTTCCCGCTACTCCATATAACCCCATCACAAGTTGTTAAGAGCCATGAGCGGGTATTAATTGCTATTATTTATTAATTAATTATATACCCTTCAAATTTAAAGATTCTTTTATTTATTACTCTTTACTCCGTAGATAACTAACTACTAATGTAGGGACTTGGGTGGTCTCTAAGCCAACCCCCTGGGGGCTCGCGGACACGCAAGAAAAAGTAACTTACTTTCATTAGAACTCTCCGGCAATGAGTAAGTATTCCTTAGTTGCAGACCTCTGATATTTACAAGCGCTATACTTATTAGCTGCATAGACCCGCTTTAATGCAGCAGGATGTCCACTAGAAATTGGTTGACAATGCACTATAACTAGCCTGACTTAAAGTAATTTAGCATATTCAGTAAAGAGGGCTACTTACTTTCTCTATTGATTTCTATATTGATAAAAGTCACTTCTTTTTTTGTGACAATTTGCTAGTCCCCGACCCCCTCCATTACGGGAGGGGGTTGATGTTGAGACCACCCAGTAGTATTAGGATCCTAGGTAACCTTCTTAACCTATTTTGATTAAAAGTGTAACAGCGGGTACCAAGCTAGCAGTGCAGGCAGTGTCGGGTACCTGAGTAGTACCTGGCCAAAATCACGGGTACTACATAGTGGCCTTTAGTATACTGTTTGCACAGCTTTACCGTATACACTGTTTTTTAGTTGCTAGCAGCTACGCCTTGAGCTACGGAGAAGGGCTAACAACTTTTGACTTCAACTACTGCGAAGCCCTGCGACCTTTACAGCTGGTGGGCGTAGGTGGCCAATAAGAAACAGAGTTGAAGTCACGTTCCTGAATGACGCAGTGGGAGTCAGAAGTGACAGGGCTGGTCAGCCACAAAATTTCCAATTCGAGGCTAAGAGAAAGGCATGTGAGCTCATGCCAGGATTATGGGAATCTGTCATACCTTGCTAATGATTGGACGATTAATAATCCACAAAGAAACACCCACCAATTCGGCCGTGGTGTATCTAATAAATGCTTCGTCCAGTGTGGTTTTCTGTATATTGTAAAGTTCTCTTACCATCTCAGTACGAGTTACGTATTGCCTCTAAGACAGCGCCTGTTTTGCACGATGGCACGCAAACTCACAGACGATGAAGACGTTGAGTTGGATATTGAGGTTTTTAAGTGTAACATGTGTCAGATGGAACCCGGGCCGCTCCGGCCAGGGGATTCATTGGAAGGATCAATCCTGCTTACCTCCAGATCGGTGCTCTCTATTACTCACGTAGAGATTCACTTTATAGGTGCGCTCGGATATTATCCTCATCCGTGCTCTGTTTAACAAAACCACAGGTTCACAATGGGCGTTTGTATTCTCGTCAGGTCCAGGCGATCGCATCGGATCTCAGTCTACACATTTTGTTAGTTTACCCACCCTTGTCTACTCAGGGTAGCCTAATGATCAGAGGCAGTTCTTAGATGTTAGTTATCCAGTCCATGATGTTGAAGCTCTAGGTCCTCGGCGCACCTATAGCTTCCCTTTTCAGTTTATTATGCCAGAAACAAGCGGTAGCGAGGAGCTACCCATATTCTGTCAACGCCTTCCTCCATCATTCAATCGCCAAAATTCCTATTTCGATAAATGGGATGTGGTCCCGAAGCCGGATGCTGCTATAACATATCTCTTGCAGACGGCTGTGAGATTCCGAAAATCTGAGGCATTAGGAGTGAGCGATTTAGTCACTGCTACGGCGCAAAGAGCCATTGATTTTCTGCCATATACAGAAGTGCAACCGCCAACCCATATTTTGAGCTTTCCAGGAGAATTCATCACAAGAGTTGAGCGGCAGTTAAGAAGACATATTTTTGGACGATACCTTGGAACGCTAACAGTGGTAACCGAAGAGCCGGACTCACTTATTTACGATTCCGAGAACATCGACATTACCACATACCTCGCCCTTCGCATATTCTTTGACGCTGCTTCCCCTTCAATCCATCCTCCGCCCATTCTCTCTTTCACTATTTCGTCAGTGCTTCGTGCAAAGACGTACTACTCCGCAAAGAGCCTATCTTGTATTCCTAAGAAGACGTTACAGGCCGACGGCGGTCTCTTACGATTACACGATGACGTGTTCAAAGTTGGTGAATCAAAGTATCGGAACCTCAGATGGACGTGGCTCTCCCCAGATGGCCAAGTGGAGAACGATGCTGTACACCAATCGAATTCCTTCTCTCAAATCAGTGGGAACACTTCGGTCAGGACCGAAAGCACGGCTTCTGTCAGTAATCCATCCGGGACCTCTTCCAATTTTTCCTCGGCAAATAATTCTCCAGGGATTGGGGGTAAGAGGACATGGGTAACTTCTATTCGTATCCCTATCAGCTCGGCACAAAGACTGCAACCGACTTTTTGCAGCAAATTGGTCGCTAGATTTTATTCAATATTGGTTCGGATACATATAAATGGTGCCCACGCTGAAAAGATTGACTGCGAGGTCCCACTTCAGGTTGTTCATACACGCCGCATGCCTGCGGCCAACTTGGCTCCAGTACGGGAAGTCGCATCGCCACGTTGCTTGGGACCGGCTGCAATTCTCAGCCAAAAAGATGTAAGTCAGCATGGAAGGTGCACTGCATGGAGTCTAACTTGGGCATCAAACAGGAGCTGCCAGAATATCGCGCTTCCTTAGCCAGGTAAATTTATCCAACCTCTGCTTATTAGTCTCAAGCTTGTTTATGAAATTAGTCTGACTTGTAAGAGAACAGTCGATGAAGGGATGTTTATGAGAAATAACAACATTACATGAATGCTAATTCAGTGGGTATTGTCGCATGGGCACGGAGCGGCGAAGGATTCTGATGCCCAAGGTATTCCGTTACTTTTGGACCTGATAGTGACTAGCCACTCTCCTCAAATATATCAGTGTAGCAGAAATTTTACACGTTAGGCCAACGCCTCTCGATAATGAAAGTAGCCTTTGAGCATAGACCCGCGTTATTTCATGCGCAGAATGGAAAGCTCGCTAACGGAGCTGGCTCACAAAGAATTGAAAGGTCTGGGCAAAAGACTCTCATTGGCCATTGTCGAAGATCGCTTAGGAGATTACACTCATTTTTAGTTACAATCAAAACCATTCCTTCTCTCGACTCATCGTAGCTCTAGATACCGGAGATCAGCTTCAAGAGGATTGAACGAAGAGTGATCCCTAAGTACGAAATTGTAATCTTTCCACCGAAGCAGGCCTGTGACTTCTGAGTCTTACCACGCCCCGATAATCATTTACTCGCTTATTTCATATCCTACAAATACCCCATGTCGAACCAACCTAGCAGAATCGATTAACTACACAATTGTAAGACTGCCGAAAAATGTTGAGACTCCATTAAGACCAGCAGGGGAATAGCCGCTCAGGTGTTTGTTTGGAAGCATCTCATAGTTTTCCCAATATTAATTCAAGTGCCCAATTTCCGTTAGAGGTTCCCGTGTGGCTTTCTCTAGTCCAAAAATCGCATATAATCCCGGTGCGATCTCGAATTCTGTGACTCTGATAATTATAGGTATCTTTGCCTTATTGCGAGGAGACAAAACCCTGAGCCAAGGCTCAAAATAGGATTTCGCGACCGACAGTAAGCTAGGTTGGTTCCCCATGTTGCGCCAGCGGTAAATGAAAATGGGCATTGGCACGGGATGTGCTTAGGAAGCGATGAGACATTTTGCCATTCAAGGTTCACCAGATTCACCAGATAGCGTAAATAAGGGAAAGGTCGGCATCAAAGTAACACCATCTTCTATTGGACAAGAATTGAATAGATAGTAAGGTTCTAAGCCAACATGAAAACATAGCTCTCTAGATTCTATACTGTACTGTCTACTTTCCCACTTCCCTGGGCTTCTTTAGCCCTTCGCTCCTCGCGCTCACTGAACCGGTCCCCGAATAAATCAAAATGAGGTCGCATGACAATGGTGTATTTTACCAACTCTTCCATGCAATCAACAAGGCGATCGCGGTTTGAGCTAGGAAGCATACGGCTCCCCTCACGCTCCGATGTGAACTGGGTATATGCCTTGGGCACTGAACTCTGGTTGGGAATCGCAAACATGCGCATCCATCGTCCGAGTAATCGAAGGGAATTGACAGAGTTGAAGGACTGCGAACCACCGCTGACTTGAGCGATAGCTAATGTCCTCCCCTGGGTAGGACGCACCGAGCCAGTGGACAGTGGGATCCAGTCAATCTGCTGCTTGAAGATGCCCGTCTTTGGATGCTGATTAGTTTTAAATCTCACAAGTCCTCGCCGGCCTGTTTACTTACTAAATTTCCGTGCTGCTCGGGGCTAACCCAGACGTGGCCGTCGCTCCATTTACTTAATTCACGTAGTTCCTGCACTTTAGGGTGACAATGCTGCACATCGTCCTTCTGAGGCAAGCCAGCTGGGTCGAATACTCGGACATCGCAACCGAGACGGAAAAGTATGCGCGCCGCCTCGTATGCTAGGAGGCGGGAGAATGATCTAGGAGTGGTGAATAAAACTAGGACATGTCCGAACGAAAGCGATGCGTAGGAGATCCAAGGATAGCATTCATCGTTCCGCGTGATGCTTACCTGCTTCTAAGACTACCGTAGAGAACCAGGATGCGAATGCGATCTAGCCCCTGGTCCAGGATCTCTGACTGCACCACCTTAATCGCTGTGCTCAGCTCTAGTTGCGAGATCCAGTCATCGGTGGAAAGGTCGCCATCAATAAGAAACGGACGATACTGCTTCCGTATTTCGGTGTCGTCTTGGTCGGACTCGAGGGCGAGGGATCGATAGCTGTAGGTGGGATCGGCTATGCGCGCGATGGCCGTCCTTCCAGCGTGGGAATTGTTCAAGTCCCCGTGTCCATTCATCATGAGACCAAGGCGCCGCCTCTGGCCTGCTACGGTACTAGCAGAGAAATGGTGGTGTTGAAGAAGCGCTTGGGAATTCCAGCTTACGTGGAGGTGAGGTATGCGGGCGCGAACTCGGAGGGTGTGGCAGAGAATGCTCATTTTTGCTGCTGGCGCTCGAGGACACAGTGGGAGCCCATACAAGAAATAGCGCTCTTTTTATGTATTTCCACCCCCACTACTACCCTGGCAGTACAGACAGAGATTTTTGGGGCCTTTCTAATTAGACCAGAGTAGCTAAGAGCCATTCATAGGCCGTTCCGCTGCCACGCTTAGCGACTAGATTATTGAGGAGGACTATTCTCACGCGAGCCACCAGATTGGATGACAATTGTGCCATGGTCTCTCGCAGGATGTCTCCGTGAAGTCATCCGATATTATACGTCTTTTCCAATGCGCTATTATCTTTCCTTTCCTCAGTGTTGAGTGGGATTCCGGGTGCAACGACGATATCTTGGGAGTTTATTATTCTATCAAATTTCCAGAGAACTACAAAAGTACGTGGTATGGAAATTGACCAACCACGCTACCTAGCCAGCAAATCGCAATGCCACCAGCGCAAAGGTGTCTAAGCGGCTATAACTCATTGCTCTCACCACCAAAGACTTGATCATGCTGGATTAGATCTACTTGTTCTCCCACACAGTCGCATCGTACTCATCAATCCACTCTACAAACTCTCCACCAGCTTTGGCCCATCCACTGATGCCTTCAAACAGTATCAAGCTCTCCATATCGCTGTCGCTTTGGCCGTCGATATGGTCTTTGAACCATCCAGCTGCTCGAGAACCTCTGCCGCGGGAGGATGCTAGAAAGAGTTAATATGCCTTTCTCTGTACTGTATGCTGCTAGTTTTGGAGGTAGTAATTCAAGACGTACAGCAGTACCAGATGGTTTTTTGTACTCCAGCCGCTTTGAACAAGCTGTATAGCGTCGGTATGGTGGGGTAGAGGCTCTGTGCCGGTAGATTAATAGACCCGCGAATCGTACCGCCCTAGATGGGAGGAAAGGTTAGTCGCTGCTCTGCTGACGACTCTCTCAGATGATACCTCAAGATCTGTTCTGCGGAGATCAACTAGAACGTAGTTCCTTCCAGCTATGTTGTTGCTGTTCTTGATCATCTCCAGCACATCCTGGCGCATCATGGCCGCAGGGGTTTTGTTACGAGGAGGAGGGTAGGCAGCATGCCATGGTGCGGGAGCACCAGTGGAGGCCATCTGTTTGAACCACCAGGTGCGACTACTGTTGAGTGCAGGTTGGAATGCGGGCTTTCGGTAAGGAGGAGATGTTAATCTGGAGAGATACTTTGGGATGACCATCGCTATTGGAATAGGAAAGAGAGGGCACTTCAAATCTTATTTTGAATCCAACGAGCAGATCCTCTTGTTCGGACATTTTTTTGGGACTGTGTCATACCTGGGGTATGATTGGCGAAGCCTTTAGAAGGCCAGTTTGAGTTTCACATTCATTTCACAGCTGGGAAGGGAAACAGACGGAAAAGGGATAGCGTTTCCGGGGATCTCTGTCATGCCCGAGAATTTATTGGCTAGATGCCAAAGGGTCTGTCATGCCCCAGAAGTTTCTGGCCGACTAGCAGGGGTTGACTAATCTAGCAAGCTCTGCCCCTGCAAGCCAAGGACTGTGTCAGACCTTGATCATGATTGGCTCGGCGCGGATTCTCGACCAGCCACTTACCATAATTTTGAGGTCCCAACCAATTTCCGGGAGTATAAAGAGATCGTGGTGATTTGCGCATACAGATTGCGTTTTTCTTGACAGCAGTGATTTTACTCAGTCACAGGCATTATCTGCATTCTTCGACTTCTCGACTTCGCCAGATCACCCAGAACCACCACAGATCACGCACCACATTGCCTCAAAAGATACCACGGAAGGCGACTGTCTCAACATGGCATTAGAAATGAAGGAAGGGGTGGACAGCCAGCGAAAGCCTGCCACAACCCGGTCTGACCAAGATACTGAAGCTGCGGCTGGGAGCACGAGTCCTGATGCGCAACCGCAGCAACAGCTGTCTGCCTTCAAAGGCCTCGGTATTCTAGATCGCTTCCTAGCCCTGTGGATTTTCCTTGCAATGGCAATTGGTATCATCTTGGGCAACTTTGTTCCCGAGACCGGGCCAGCCTTACAGAAGGGCAAGTTTGTGGGCGTTTCGGTGCCCATTGGTATGTTTTCCCTGATGGGCCCGAACTTTTGATACCTGAAACTGACGCATGCTTAAGCTGTTGGTTTACTCGTCATGATGTATCCTATTCTCTGCAAAGTGCGATATGAATCGCTGCACGAGCTCCTTTCCCACAGGGAGATGTGGAAGCAGATCTGTTTTAGCATCTTCGTCAACTGGATTATCGCTCCCTTCCTTATGGTGAGTCTCCCTTGCCCAGCATACATTTTTCTACTACTCGGTGTACTGACGTCCATTAGCTCGCTCTCGCTTGGGCTTTCCTCCCTGACAAGTCAGAACTTCGCACTGGTCTTATTCTCGTTGGCTTGGGGAGATGTATTGCAATGGTTAGTTCCCCCGTCACCTCCAGACATTTTCACCAAGTTGACAATATTTCCTTTCAGGTCCTCATTTGGAACGGTCTCGCGGGGGGCAACGATGAATACTGTGCCATCCTCGTCGCTATCAACTCGATACTCCAGATGGTCCTCTTTGCGCCCTTGGCCATCTTCTTCATCCGCATCATCAGTCATGAGTCGGGTACGGTTGATATATCCTACAGCGTTGTTGCCACAAGTGTGGCTGTCTTCCTGGGCATCCCCCTTGGAGCAGCCATCATTACGAGAATTGTACTTCGCAAGGTCGCTGGAGCAGATTGGTTTCAGCAGACCTTTCTTAAGTTCCTCGCACCTTGGTCCCTAATTGGCCTGCTCTACACCATTCTCGTTCTGTTCGCATCCCAAGGCCGACAAGTTGTTCACCAGATTGTATCTGTCGTCCGGGTAGCTGCACCACTAATTGTGTATTTCGTGTTGATCTTCTTTGTCACCTTGTGGGTTAGCAGACTCCTCGGCTTCCGATTCCCCATGGTAGTAACGCAGAGTTTTACCGCCGCAAGTAACAACTTTGAGTTGTCGATCGCTGTAGCGGTGGCCACTTTTGGCCCCGACAGCGACCAGGCTTTGGCATCCACCGTTGGCCCGCTCATCGAGGTGCCGGTGTTAATAGGCTTGGTATATGCTGTTCGCTGGATGGCCAACAGATGGGGTTGGAAGTAAAGGAGTGAGCCAACTTCCATCAACAATACAGCTTTAGGGATAAAATGGAAATGCTTCTATAGGTATTAATATATAATTATTTAGGCTCGCACAGCCTTCTTGACGTGAATTTTGATACTCGACCAATAGTCTGCTTCTAGTGCTCTTTAAAGTAGCAAACCTCCACATCCTCATTGACGTGCGCCTGCCTAGTCAAGATGATCCATAAGCTGAAAGATTTTAGTGTTCTTAACATGACAGTAGCTATTTCCATGACATCCCAGAGCCGAACGAGCCCACGATGGATCTACACGGTTGTGAAGTTCCAGGAGTATTCCTGCCGCTTTATCACATGAGGTTTCTAGTGCTCCTGAATGGTTAGAATAAGGGCTGATGGATTTGGAGGAGTCGAAAGAGTCGAAGAGCGGCGAGAGTCTGTCTGTTGGGGCTGAGGAACAGTCGGCAGTTATGTTGTCAAGCCTGTTGGCTGTATGTATTTGATGGTGAAGTCTGCGTTCCTCTCCTTGAGGTACAAAAACTCTTTCATTTTCTTCTCGGGTTCGTATCGATTCAATCGGCGGCTCGGTAGGCGCCGGCTGCTTCCGGCCAGGTGTCGATAGAGGTGGATCTGACACGAGCGATGCGGTCATGCTTAAAGTAGACCTAAGGGAGCTCTGGGGCGGATCATCTGTCGATATGGTTGTCGTTTGCGCTGTCTCAAGTAATAGACGTCCGCATGTGTCGCATCGCTGTCGATCATTCAATGCCCGATAATCACCCTCGGGCGAGGATAGAAATCGCTCAATTTCCTCTTGGGAGACCCCGCATACGCCAAGCAAGTTCTTCAGGAGTTGATTCTGGGTGTTGACAGCCCGAGCAACGCGTTGCATCTCTACAGAGGCTGCTATGCCCATCCGCTCGTACTGTTCCAATCGACACTGTAGGTTCTCAATCAGCTCCTGCCGTCGGGCTCTTGATCTGCGCTGAGCTTCGCGGTTTTCTGCAACAGAGGTTGCGGATTTGTTCTGTAAAGTAGAAGGTGAGTGAGTGGCGATTATCCAAGCTAATTTATGCAGCATACCTTCCGGGGCATTTTACTCGGATATCGAGTTTGGACGTACTGGTTCGTATGGATAATAGAAAAGATAGTGTAGATTATAGAAGGTTCGTCAAGCAACTCGGGATGCACTACTCCAACTCTTGAGGACAGGGTCACATGGGTACATAAGCAGAAGGAAAAACCATGCTTCCGATCGCGTTAGCAGGCACCGGCCTTGATGGTTGTAGCGCATGGGCTGTGGCGTTAAGTGGTGAATGAGTTTAGGTTTTGGCATAACCTGTTGGGGCACCTTGGAAGAGAGCGAACTCGTGGCAGGTGCAGGATGCCCAAGAATTTTAGAACAGATAATACTGTAAGAGGTCCGGCAAACAGCCGAAGCGCCGTAGATAGTCCGCGACGCCCCACAATGACTTTTAGAAAGAGTTGAGAGCTTGGGTTTAGAGCTTGAGAAGTATGGGCAAATGAATGGCACGTTGTAGCAGGTAAGCGTTCCACTCAGTGCAGCGAAATAGTTGCGGCGTAGAACTGAGCAATAAATACTAGGAACAGACTCGGCAGCGGCGACCCCGACGAATTTTTTTTGTTGTTGAGGCTAATAAAAGTGGCTATTGAGATATGGCTTGAGGTGGCGCAGGAGTTATGGCGCAGGTGGCGGTGTTCCAGGTGTTGCTTTCGAGGGGGCGGAAGGAAGAGCCTTTCGTTCCTCAAGGCACAGGAGACCGGTCCTGCGGGCCCGCCAATGCCTTGAGGAACGAGTCTTGCGAGTGTCTAACTTCTTACCCAGAATTATTCTGTGGATTTACACCTTCTAATGCCTTGTAGCTGCAATATCCGTCACAACGTCTGTAGCAGGTTGTCGAGTTCAGCAGAATTAAAAGAACTATCAAGATCGGGTTTTTAAGAGGATTACCATATCGGATAATTAGTAATAAGTGCGTCTAGGCTGTCTAATCATATTGTATTTTAAATGAATTATTAAGCCGATTCCGTTAGAATCTTTGCCACATATAATAGATATACATATATAATAGATATATAAAGTGCTTGCAAAGGGGTGGTGGGAAGGGTGGGGGTTAAGACAGTGCAGGTTATAAAGATAGGGTACTATATGATTCCAGCAGCCGCGCGCAGTAGCCGCACGACAGCCTCGTGCCCGCCCTGGGCAACGACGGCCTCGTGCCCGCCCTCGGCGGCCCAGAATAGCGGCGTCCGGCCATAGTTATCCTTCGTGTCGACGGCGGCGCCCTTGTCGAGCAGCAGCCGCACGACGGCCTCGTGCCCGCCCTCGGCGGCCTGTGATAGCGGCGTCCGGCCGTTGTTAGCCTTCGAGTCGACGGCGGCGCCCTTGTCGAGCAGCAGCCGCACGACGGCCTCGTGCCCGCCATGGGCAGCCCAGAATAGCGGCGTCCGGCCGTTGTTAGCCTTCGAGTCGACGGCGGCGCCCTTGTCGAGCAGCAGCCGCACGACGGCCTCGTGCCCGCCATGGGCAGCCCAGAATAGCGGCGTCCGGCCGTTGTTAGCCTTCGAGTCGACGGCGGCGCCCTTGTCGAGCAGCAGCCGCACGACGGCCTCGTGCCCGCCATGGGCAGCCCAGAATAGCGGCGTCCGGCCGTTGTTAGCCTTCGAGTCGACGGCGGCGCCCTTGTCGAGCAGCAGCCGCACGACGGCCTCGTGCCCGCCATGGGCAGCCCAGAATAGCGGCGTCCGGCCATTGTTATCCTTCGAGTCGACGGCGGCACCCTTGTCGAGCAGCAGCCGCACGACGGCCTCGTGCCCGCCATGGGCAGCCCAGAATAGCGGCGTCCGGCCATAGTTATCCTTCGAGTCGACGGCGGCGCCCTTGTTGAGCAGCAGCCGCACGACGGCCTCGTGCCCGCCCTCGGCGGCCTGTGATAGCGGCGTCCGGCCATAGTTAGCCTTCGAGTCGACGGCGGCGCCCTTGTCGAGCAGCAGCTGCACGACGGCCACGTGCCCGCCCCGGGCAGCCCAGAATAGCGGCGTCTGGCCGTCGTGCCCGTCATGGGCAGCCCATGATAGCGGCGGCCGGCCATAGTTAGCCTTCGGGTCGACGGCGGCGCCCTTGTCGAGCAGCAGCCGCACGAAGGCCTCGTGCCCGCGGTCGGCGGCCCAGAATAGCGGCGTCTCGCCATCGTTACCCTTCCACTTAATGTCGGTAAGTAGATCATTCATTACCCTCAGCGCCTCGCCATCCGCCTCTATCCAAGGGCTATGATTAGTGTCCATGCTTCTTAAAGCTGTTCCATAAACCTCTACGGCTTTTCGGAGATTCTTTCCTGCCTCTCTGTATCTTTCCAGTCCATTCAGTAACAGTCCGAAATCCCATAATCTAGTAGCTTCATCTAGATAATCTTGGCACTTGCACTCTGGACACCTGGACTTCTCCCAACTCCCTATAAGGCGTTCATAGTATCCTTCATCCTGCATCTAGCCTTGAGATACATCCCAGTCCCAGATAAGCAGTATATTATTTAGAAATGCCCTGATAGATCGTACATATTCCAGCAAGGGAACTACAATTATTATAATAGCTGAATGACCGTTACGTGGCCTGATGATTAAAGGCTTTAATGCTCCTTACAGAAAACAGACCACATCCCCTATCTAGATAGATATCGCTAAGGCCGGGAGGGTGAAGTAGGAGCTCCATTCCCCTCTTATGTCAAAATCCCTTTTCCAACTAATGTCTACACTTTATGTGTCATCCTGAGTAATGTGTCTTTTAACTAAAGATACTTCACTAAGTATATAACCCTTGCCCTTAATTACCGCTGCCTCCTTATCATCCCAAGTGTTTATAGACATCTAATTAGAAGTAGAGAATTTAATAAGTTTCTAAAAGACTTCTTTCCATAATATCTAATAGTTAGGCAATAACCCTGCTTTATTGAGATCATCGTGATTATCCGAGCTTATACCGAGCAGGGCGTAAATCTTATCGAGAGGGTTGGTAGCCTTGCGGGTGTGGTACATATCCACTAGCTCACTTAGAGGACGTATATCTAGAGAAAACCTGCCTGACTGACTCGTTTCGCAGCCTTCGTATCGAGGCCGGAAGACTGCGCCTCTTATCAGGTAGGCTATCGGAGGGATTATACCCTGAAGGTTCTGGTTTATTTCATAAGATAGGTTTAGTGCGCTTAGGCCTGAGCAGAACGCATATCCGTCGATTTCTGTGCGGCTATACTTGATCAGGACATGTCGAGCTGCGGCAACCTCCTGAAGGACCTAAGTCGATTTTGTTAATAGCTTCTACCTATATTGTTGATTATCTGCCACTTACCTAGATGCGCTGAAACTATGGCCGCTTAAGCAGAGTGAGAATCGTTTGCTGGTTTGTTTCGTCGATTGCGGAATTCGTGTGCTGCTTTTCAGCAGCCTTACGTATATTGATGAGCGCTTGATCGCCATCATCTGGCCCCTCCCCAAGCTAAACAATTACGCGACTAGCCTTAGCATAGATCTTCGCCATAGACCGAACCTGCTGTCCCTTTTCGCCGTTGTCTTCTTGGTTGATGCAAATAGCATCTACCTATATAATACGGTCAATAAGACTATCTCGAAGATGTGATAGTGCTAGGTGAAGGTTTGCTGTAATGAGTAAGCGAAGGTTGTTTCTAGTGGGAGGAAAAGAATGAGGATTGGGGCCCCGCTCCATTTCGGCACCTGACTGTATATGGATAGGCTGACGATTCTCCTTAGAGCCCTAAACGTATAATAAGGCCTCGTATAGATATGTCCCTTCGCCCCACAGAGAGTACTCGAAGAGCTAGCACTATATAGGTGCCTTTTTATCTTTGTGCGGCATCAGGTGAAGCAAGCGAATACTACCCTGCTCCGATAAGCGAGAGTAGTAGTACTTTAAGGAACCTTCATCTCTGGGGCTGTCAGAGAGTCAGAGGCTCGGCTCCTGAATTCATTGGGGGTAAAGGTGGAGCTACCTAACTAGTTCTAACGTTTGGTGGATGATGGCTGGTATAGAGGATATTGAGGGTGGGTATTCTGCGGTTAGCTTAGCCTGATCAGTCGTCTTCGTGGCCGCCCCCTCGGACCCAGGCTCGAGCTCCGATAACACAGATGCGGCAGGGGGAAGGCATCGTCGGTGTCGGTAATTCTTATCTGAGGGGGTCTTCTTGAACTTTTATAGGCCGGGTTCTTCATCCGCGGAGTTTTATTCAACCTCCCACCTCTTCAGCTCACCGGACACAGGGTCTCCGCCCTCGCTAATCTGGATATTTCTCCTCGACATTTTGTAATTTCTCGATCGATCGCTTTCGGCGATGTTTATTGACGCGCTTGATCTAGCTTCGCTGTATTCGTTTTTGAGGACACTAGCTAGTGGAGGAGGAGGATGACGAAGGGAAGGACTGTTCCAACTAATTCTTCGCGATCGCAAACTGAAAGCTAGACTTATTAATGTACGCATGATGAAGAAATATAGCGAGGGATACTTATAAATTAAGGTTTTATGGTTTGTGAATAAGGAGGTAAAAAGAAAGTGCATCGAGGTCGAATCACTGTCTGGATTCAATGCTCGGCTGATTCTAGCGGGGCAGCTGCCTAATCGTTGCCTTAGCCATATCAGCCACGTCTGGGTGGGTCCATGGATTTTTGGCTTAGAGTCTATGGCCGTTAAGTGTAGCTATTCGGATGTGGCGCACGGTGGCGCAGACTTTGTGGCGCAGGTGGCGGTGTCCCAGGTGTTGCTTTCGAGGGGGCGGAAGGAAGAGCCTTTCGTTCCTCAAGGCATACCGTAGGACGTGGACGCCTTCAAGAAGATGGACAAGATTACAATTTTTCCATAGTCTTGTAATGCTACGAGGGTATATATGCTTACAATCGGTTGCTGCGCTAGAGCGCGTACGATTTGCCAAGCGTTCACGCAAGCTTGCAGTATGGCCACCCTTTTCCCCATAGCAGGATCGGGCCAACCGTTCAATGTAAGGTGTGTTGCAGCGGATGTAAGGCGGAAATTAGAGAAGCGGCATTTGGGTGACGTAACTGCATATGGAATGTACTCTGTACCCCGCTGCTATGCCCCAGTATTTAGTCGCATTTTGTTGCCCTTGATCGCAGCTGGTCGCATTTAATTATATTTGATTGCATTTAGCTGAATTTAATCGCATTTGATCGCTTGTACTTACAGTATTGCACAGTTTGGTGGTGTGATGGTTAATTACTTCCTAAAACTAGGCTCGGTGGGGCTTGAGTTGAGTCCCAATTCTTAGTAGCGCGACCAAACCATGGGTCAAGGTGCACCAAGATTTTGGATTAAAGCTAAGTCTTAGGTACATTAAACATAGCACACCGTGATTCAGGCCTGCGGGATGTAAAAATTTTAATATGATTGTACTGTACCGGTACTTAAATGTACATATATGTACCTATAGATGCCAATTGCCATATCTACCTTTATTGTACATGAGGATGTTTATATGTAATATGTAGTACATCGCATGGACTGAACCATTTTCTGGGCTACAGCGCTGACCCCATCAATGCCATTCTGCTTCGTGTTTCATCCCTGCGTGGGTCCAGCAACCCCACACCCATTTTCTCCTCTGCTCCTTGTGTCCATTTTCTGCTCCTATGCCCATTTTCTGCTCTTTGTGCCCATTTTCTGCTCCTTGCGTCCATTTTCTACTCCTCGAGTGTTTTGTACAGTTTGGAGCATAACCAGCTTCCGCTCTATTATCTTTATATTTTTTTTTTAAGAAGAGGGAGTACCTAAAAATACCTTAGTATATACTTCCCACTATCTTATAGTATAAGAAATATCCATTAATAGCTAGCAAATAAGTTTCTTAAAGTAGACTAAGTACTAAGGCGGGAATAATTATGCCTATAGTGTTAGCGCGAAATCTCAATACTTTTGGTGAGCGACAGGGTACATCCAACCCCAGGTTGGCCATAATGTCCAAAGCAGTCACCTCATATGTACGAGAAGACGGATTATAGGTAACCCGAAATTAAACAGGGAGTCAGTCTATATAATCCTTAGTCATCCATAAGCTACGCGAACCAGGTTCCATCTCTGCCTTGCCCCTCCTCAATACCCGATCAAGCCTTACTATCAAGACCATCCTTCGCGACCAAATGCCAGGACAACAGCCATATATAAGCCAAAGGCATCAGTGGCTTTAATCTCTTCGATATAGATCCTACTCGCCCTACTTCGCAGCACAGATTCGAGATTACCATTATCTATACCCTTATAATTAAAGTAGATACTATTAAGGCACTCTTTAACTAGCACTAGGATAATAAATACTCCTTTAGTAAGGTAACTAGTGATCCTAATATATATACTACTAGTTCTATTAGCTATTATAATATTATTCTCGCCTATATACCTAATATAGGGAAGGTAAATACTACTATTATTATAGTATATTATAAGACTAGCTATCCTAATATTAAACTAGCTCTTATTATAGGTATATATAGTATTATACTATTTATACTAAATACTAATACTAAAATTATTCTTAGTAATATTATTATAAGTAATAGCGTTATTTAATATAACTTTAGATATTAACTTCCTAAATACTTTATTTATAAAAACACTCTATAAGAATCTTTAAGTAGGCCTAATTTAGAGATTTACGCCTTACTAGGGAAGCTATAGGGTAGGTATAATAAGATAATATTAAATAAGAAGATTATTAATTATCTTAGAGAGCTATAGAAAGTATTAGATTTATAAGTATATTATCCTAGTCTAGATTATAATAAGCTATTTAATACTAGTTTTCACTATATAATAGCTAGAAAGATATATAAAGAATATAAATATAATAGATAACTTATATCCCGCTATTAATTAGAATAAGGCTATATATAACTAGTAGTTCACTTTAGATATATCGCTTCTAGTAATATATATTATATATAGACTGCGTATAATGAGTTACATTTAAGACCTACTGTGTATATAGAGTTACACATAGAATAGACTATTAATATAAAATCATATATAAGAATTACTATATACATAGAGTTATATATTAGTATTATAGCCTGGTTTATAGCACTTACCCTTATCTAATTAGCTTTATTACGCCTACTATCTATATTCTAATCTTAGTAGCTTACTTAACCTAAACTTACTATATATAGGCTAATTTAAGGCTGCCTAACTATTGGTATCCTGCGGTGACCTTAGGCAGACTAGTGCGGCATTAAAACTAAGTCTACCCTAGACGCGCCTCTATAAGTAGCTAGTTACTATATTAGGTATTATAGATTAAGTAGGCTAGAATAAACTAGCTATTCTAGATAGATGCTAGAACCTCTTATAGTATTAATATATAGGGTGGACTACTATAGCTAAATACTATAGGCGAGTTAATATAGATATAAGATGCCTATACTACTACCTTTAGTGATTAAGCATATTAGTAGGTTAGATTTAGTATAATGCTAGGGGTATTAAATATTATATTAACTATAAATAATCACTTAGATTTAGCATAGAAGATTTAAATAAACCTATAGGTAGGGCCTCTTTACTCTAGAGATATTTTATTATATAGACCTACTAGCCCCCTTACTCTTTATAGGGTGGATATTACCTTATATTAATTAGAACACTACTTAAGGATATATTATTACTTACTTATCTAATATTTAATATATATAATAGATCCTTTAAGTATATCTACTAGTATTATTACTATTATTACTATTACTATTTAGTTAACTATAGCGCTCTATAGCACTATTAAAAGCTTTAAGAGCTACCCTATTAAAGTAGCTAAACTTAAAAATTAGCTATAGGCCTTTATCTATATCCTTAACTTACTATATAAACTTATTTATAAAGATAGCTATATAGGTACTCTACTTAAAAATCCTCTAAAATAATATAGTATTATATATAATAATTTTAAAACTTTATTAAAGTTATATAAATAGAATTCTAGGAATAAATAACTTAATCTCTTAAAATAGATAAAGTTAAATTATAGGAATAAAGATATTATTAGCTTTATATAATTATTAGTAGGTTATAAAGCTACTATTAATATTATAATTATAGATATTAACCTATATACTATAAAAACTCTAATTAGATTATACCTAATTAATTTTTTACTTAAATATACCTCTAAGGTTACCTTAAAAGTTCTTAATAAGTATAAGACTAAGGTTAATATTACTATAAAATATTTAGAAAGCTATCTTAAGGAGATCCTAATTAGATTAAAATAATTAAGGTAGTTAATAAAAGAGTAATCTCTTACTAAATCTACTAATATAAATCTATTAAATAAAGAGAGAAATAGTATTAAGAATTATCTTAAGGTTTATTAATAATTTTAAACTAATTTAAATAAAATATAATTTTAGCTTATTTCTAAAAATCACTCTTTAGATATTAGTAGTAATATAATAAAATTACTAACTTAAGATATACCTATAGTAAATACTATTATACTATTTAGTTTAAAATCCTATAATCTTAAGATTATAGATATAATATCTAAGCTAATATTATATAAAGAAAAGACTAAAAAGAGACTTCTTATTATACCTTATAGGATTAATAAATAAGCTAAAGAATAAGAGCTTAAACTATAGAGACTATAATATAAGCTTAATAGTACTAACTAAATATTAAGCTTTTATAAGGTTATATTATTTTAAGCTATA